CCCGTCAGTGTGGCTCAGGGCTTGAGCATTGACCTACGAACCAGGAAGTCACAGTTTGATTCCTAGTCAGGGCACATGCCCGGGGTTGTGGGCTCAATCCCCAGTAGGGACTGTGCAGGAGGCAGCTGATCAATGATTGTCTCTCATCATTGATGTTTCTATCTCTCTCTCCCTCTCCCTTCCTCTCCGAAATCAATAAAAATATATTTAAAAAATGAGGAAGGAAAATAAAAACCTAGTCAAGCTTGCACATTTTCATTTTTACCTACTTTGCCCATGAAAAGCTGTGTGACTTTGAGTAAGTTATATAACCTCTCTATGTCACTTTTCCTGCCTATAAAATGTTTCAGCATCATCAGAAATGGGATGCCCTCAAAACTGAAGACAATTCCCTGCATTTTGGGAGGAGGACAAAACTCAAGAGTAGAAGGGAGAAAAACTCAGAAACAGGGTGGTTCTACGTGGTATTGGGTCCCTGTCTTATCTGATTCTCTCCCTCTGACTTCTCCCTGTTTTCTTGTTGTTGTTGTTGTTGTTTTAACTCTTCTCTTTCTCTAGTATCCTCCCCTCAGATATTTCCTTTGCACCCTCTACTACCTTCAGGTCCACAGTCTCCAGAGCAAGAAAAACTGAACCCTGAAATGAAGCATGGGTCTGGTCTCTTCCTTTGTCATGGGTCCTCCAGGCTCTGCTGCTTCCATCATGTTTTCTGATGTTTGACAACCTCTCTTTTGTTCTCACTTGCTCTTCCAGTGGCTTTTCTGCAGTCTCATTTTTCTTTCTGTGTTGGTCCTTTAGTGTTCTCTGTGATTTCACCAATAAAAACACACACATTTCTTAATTGTATCCAATTGACTGCTTGTGCACATACTGTTCCCCCACCTAAAGTGGCCTCTCTCATCCTCTTCACCTGCCCTGATATTATCTATCATGTATCAAGAAGCAACTGAAGCCATTCCTGAACGCTTCCTGCCCATCTTAGCCCATATATAATTACTCCCCCTTGATGCTTCTCTTGGACCCTAAGCATTCACTGTCATATAAAGTTATTTATCTTTTTACCATATACATTTTCCTTCCTGAATGAGATTACTACTTCTTTACAGTCAGGGACTTATCTTTTTATTGATATTATTATTAACCATCAAAGCATTGTTATATATGTAGCAGGTTCCTCCTTAAAAATACATTGAATAACATTTATTGAATGAATCATTGGTAGCAACTTAAGATGTGTTTATTAATTGAATAATGAGATATGGAAGGAACAAAGCAAGTATGTATTGAATAATCGAATGCCTGAAATGAAGCCAACAGACTGCCCAGATGTTCTCACCCAAGGGGAAAGTTCCCCAGTTCCAGTCACAGTTGGATGATATTTACAAGGCTTAGTATCATCTTTACTGACTCATCTCCTGTTTTCACTGATATCAGAAATAAATGTTTTTGTCAGGAAGCCTAATTTAAAATTCTTGGCATATATGAGCATTTTATTCATACTATGACTTATAATCATTTGCTTTATTTTAATAAAATTAACTCAGAGTTACTATATAGAGAGCATTAAATTTTTGTGATGGCCCAGTAAAGCCAAATGTATTTCAGAAGCAAATCTAAGCCAGAGGGCATGATTTTATGGATGAGGATATGAGGGTACAGAGAGGTTAAATGATATGTCCTCAAGACACACAGCTAATTGGTGAAAAGATGTGGTCTAGAATGCAGATCCCTTGACACAGATCCCATATTTTTTTATACATCCTGCTGCCTCTGTTAGGGAAAAAATAAAAGGATAATCTTCAATTTGGACTCCCCCCCCCCCACATATTATTTTAAGTGCCATAAAAGATTATAGTATAATCTATATTATGCTGTGATTAGGAGAAGCATAATTTCCAGCATCATAAAAAGTTCTGTGGAAGATCTGCTCAGGCAGGATTAACATTGGTGTAAACATGGGATCAGGTAAGTAGGGGACAACCAAGTTGAGCTGAAGCCAGTGCTGAGACTTCAGCCATGAAAGTATGGGAGTGACCAAGGTGAAATGAACTACCCCCACCCCACATTTGCTTTGTCATTAGGATCCTCAAGTAGCCATCCCTCCTTAGTCCAGAGCTTTTGCTCACTCCCTTGACTCATCTGACTTTAAACTTGTCTCTGCTCTGTGTTAAGAGAGGACCAGTGGCCTGTCCTCTAGTGTTACATATGTACCTAGTAAAGTGGCGTGTTGCTGACAAGGACTTAATCCACTAGCTCAGGTAGGTAGGTACTACAGAAAACAAAACAAACAAAAAAACTTGGCTAGTTAACCAAAAAATTGGATTCCAGGAACATTTCTGCTTTTAGCTAACCATGTGGATTTGAGATTATGCAGTCAGTCTACACATTTGTATCAAAAGGGGGTTAGAATAAAAAAATGCTTTCCATCCAAGGAACACTGGGGGTCTCTGAGAGGGGCCTCTGTGGCTTTACCAGTGGAGATATCAGGTTGGACGTCCACACCTCCCAACCTGACTTCAACCAGAACTGTTTTAGTTTAATCTGCATCAGTATCTTGCATAATACTTAATCAGAAAAATAGGAATAAATTCTGTTTTAAAGTAACAGTATTACAAACAGACAAAATTATGTTGGGAATCCACTGGAGTAGCTCATCTCTAAGGTGCCTACCGAGCCCTTCAATCTATAAGACATTTAGGGCAGGCTGGGCCTGAGAGTGCATTTCTGATCACACCAGGTAGACCTGACCTGTCTAGGGTCAATCACTTTGGTGAAGGTTCCCACCACAGAAATTCTGGGAGAAGCCCCTCCTTCCCTTACAGGTCCTCTAGGCCATAAAGCTATGCAGGATTCTAGTTCAAATCAGAAAGTCACCAATGAAATAAATTCCTTGCAATTTTCCCTATGGCTAGACCCACCCTGACAAAGATCTGGGATCTTAGGAGGCTCTGGTTTAGCAAGTTTATTTCAGTTCATTCATTGGACATCAATTATATGCTATCCATTGGCTTGGTCATGTTCTGCTTTTGGGTTGAGATTTATTATCTTGTACTTGTTTATTTTTGGTTTGTTTTGTTTTCCACACTTAACCCCAAAACTGTAGCCCTGTATCTCCATAGAATAAGAAAACTTAGGGACCAATGGCCTTTTTTTCCTTATATGTTTCCATTGAATTCTTCCAACCTTTATTTATCACCAATTGAACATCCATTACCAAACTAGGTGCAAGAATAAATAGAAGAAAAGTTTAAAAATAGGATTCCTGTCTTCAAGGATTTGGAGTGTATCTGAGAGAAAAACCTTCCCCACACAACACCAGCAGGTAACAAAGGAAGAGTACTAAATTAGCTACAACCACCTGCCAAAGGTAAACACTAAATTTGCTTGGCAGGATGGAAAGGGTGAGATTGGGACAAGCTGGAGTTGTCAGAGGTTTGGCCTGTCTGTTGAAGGGCTAAAAGGATTTGGACACAAAGAGAGAATGATTTCTTAAGGGAAAAGGAAGAAAGTAGAAGATAGGCCCCAAGAACCAGTTGCTTTGGGGTGAAAACTGGCTATGTCAGAGAGCCCAGACACCCACCTCTGCCACCTCCTTGGTGGAGGTTGCTGGTCAAGTGACTTACCTGCTCTGGATCTTAACCAATAATCTTCCAATGGATTTCCAGTTCCTGGGTTCATATTTATCTCAAAGGCACATTTCTACAAGTGTTTAATGCTTGCCACATGCTTAGTGCTCCCTACCTGTGTGAGAGCCACACATTATCCTGTATAATAAAAGCCTAATATGCAAAGCGACCGAGCAGCAAAATGACCGGTCGCTATTACATGCACTGACCACCAGTGGGCAGACGCTCCCCCACAGGGGGAGTGCCGCTCAGCCAGAATCCGAGCTCACAGCTGGCAAGCACAGTGGCAATTGCAGGAGCCTCTCCCACCTCTGCATCAGTGCTAAAGATGTCCGACTGCCAACTTAGGCCCACTCCCTGCGGGGAAGGGCCTAAGCAGCAGTCAGACATCCTCCGAGGGCTCCTGAACTGCGAGAGGGTGCAGGCTGGGCTGAGAGACCCCCCGAGTGCACGAATTTTGTGCACCAGGCCTCTAGTTATTAACATAATCATCATTTACCACCTGCTTGTCTCACTTGAACCCATTACTCATGCCATCCCTCTCCCTAAAGGAGTTTTTCACCATCTCCCAGGTTTCAGATACTTGCTCTTTGGAAGGCAAATTTATTAAATGTTAAGTTTTTTGGTTTTTTAAAAAATATTTTTATTGATTTTTTTACAGAGAGGAAGGGAGAGGGATAAAGAGTTAGAAACATTGATGAGAGAGAAACATCGATCAGCTGCCTCCTGCACACTCCCTACTGGGTATGTGCCCGCAACCAAGGTACAAGCCCTTGATCGGAATTGAACCTGCAACCCTTGAGTCCGCAGGCCGATGCTCTATCCACTGAGCCAAACCGGTTAGGGCTTAAATGTTAAGTTTTAAAGTGACCATCTCCACATGTTTGAGGAAACTTGAAATGGAAAAACTGATATTATATTGGGATTCCTCAATAAGACTCCTTATTTTTCAGAAGTCCAGGGTGGTGGCGGGTGGGTGAGTGCCCTCTCAAAGGCAGTAAGAGGAAATAGCCTACTGAGTGGCTAAGGGAACACAAGAGCCAAACTATCTTTCAGAGGAGGGGGCTACGCACATGTGAACAATCTTCCCCATTTTCTTATTTCTCCCATGACCTCCTTTTCCTAAGGCAGCAATGATAATCTGGGAATAAATTCACATTTTCTAAGGGAGAAATACTGCCAGGCTTGTTAATCTCATGCAGATGTGATGTTACGTTTACCATGTTGTAATATGGCTTCTTAAAGAACAAGTCGGAAGGAAGGGGGGAAAAGAAGCCCACCAAAAAACAACAACAAATATTCGCCAACCCATATGGTCAGTAATTGCTGTTTAATAGTCCTCCTATTACAAACCTAAGAGGCAGCAGTCTGAATTACCAGTAGAGTATTAATAAACAGGAATGAGTTAATAGTGCATAAAGACCTTCTAGTGGAACAGTGGGGGAGTTGAATATTCTTTTCTCCAGTCAGCTGTAAGTAATTACTGCATGGTGTGCTTCTGACTATTACCATAACAGAGCAATTGGACGTGAAGAATGGATAATAGTACGGACATGGAGGTATTTTTAGAATATCAGCAGTGAAGCAGGTAACCGGCCTGCTCCAGTAGAAACCTTTAAATAAGTTTCGAAGACTTTTTTTTTTTTTCCTTCTTCTTCCTTATGACATTTAGCCAGGGTAGAATTTTAAAAAGATCAATCTAATAAATTATTTAAAATAACTTTACAAAGAGGATGCCTGTGATATGTAAATAAGAAGTCAAGAAGGGAGGAAGGAGAAGCCTAAAAAGCCCAGGCGGACAGGAGGCTTCTCGCCGACGTTACTGTAACTACATAATCACAGGTTCCTTCCTGCCCCTCTGAGAGTACAGCCGGGTTGCCTGCCTGCTCGGCTGGCTCCCACTGGCTGCTCAGGTGAAAGGGAAAATATTCAAATCAGAGCTGTAACTATGATTGCTGGAGTTGTGGGTTTTCTAAAATTGAGTTAGTCATCCTCGGTGATTTAATGATGCATATCATTTATTTTAAAATATTATTACAGAGGCATTGACTGAGCTGCGGCGCCTTCGCAGGACTGTCCATTATGTGATGCGGCCGGGTATGTCGCGGGCGGCCCAGGGCTGAGGTATTGTCTGACGGCACAACACATGTTCTCAGAGGCAAATAGCTTGCCACTTTGATTCAGAAAGCAGTAATTTTGCAAATGCACACAAATATCATTTAAGGAATATTTGGAGAGAAAAAAAAAAATGTTTCAGGGTATATAGGTCCTTCTCCTGCCTCCGGGCTGCACGGGCCGATGCTGATTTTTCAATTTGCAGGTTTGTTAAGCATCATGGAATGTTTTGGTTCTCAATCAAGAATATTCTTCCCAAGTGGTTCCGAAGTCCTACGCTTGAAAATAAACGTGTGTCCTCTTTGTCTCCTAGCAGCATGTGTTCCAACATACAATGGCGCACAGGCCACAGCAAAGCAATGCCTTGGATTGAACCGTCCTATAGGTTTTTAACCCATCATTCTCCTGGGCGGGGACCAGGCTCACCTCTGCGGGCAGTGCAGGCAGCTGGCGTCCACCAGGGGTGGGTAGGAGCGAGGACCCAAGTGCTCCTCCTGGCAGGATTCCTGCCCTCCCTGTGGCACGGGAGCTGAGCAGGGGCTGAGCTGCCTCAGTGTGAATAACCTCAGGTCCCACCTGAAACAAAGAGGCGCAGCCCATGAGACAGCTGGCGGTGCTGAGCTGATCTCTGCTCAGTTTTGAAGTTCTCTGACAAACCAGTGTGTGTGAGTAAACGCTGTCACGTTTATTTCTCCTGAAAACCCACATCATTGTGTCTGAGGTCTGCTGCCAGCATATTTAGATTCATTTGGACACGGCACCCTTTGTTTTGCTAAAAGATGCTGCAGTGAAGATTGACAGATGTATATTTCACCTGTGTAGCTGGTCATTCTCAATAGAAGGCAAGGGCACACCTGTTCAGGTGTTACTGGGGCCCAAGGAGATCAGCTTTTCCACGTCACTGGGTTTGATTTATTTTCTCCATGTGTTTAAAAACAGAATAGTTCTGTTTTCCTGAAGTCTACAGAATGAGGAGGACAAATGAAACTCTGGCTAATTAAATGCCAATTTTTAACAAAGTGTTTCACATAGGGCAAAGAACACTGGTCATTTCTAGAAAGTGATCGAGACCTCATGACTTAGGGCATCTCAGTATTCAGCATCTTTGTGTTTCTAATTTAGTGAAATTTGGAAGCACTTATCACTGACTTTGTATGTGATTGCACTGGTTGTGGTCATGAGTAAGTCCCATCAAAACTTATTCTACAGCCTGATTAATCATGAACTTCCCTAGGGTGCAGGCTATCCCTCTGGGGATTATACCCAGAGTTGCCTCTCCATTTGTAGCACCAGCAAAGATTTTCCCAGAAAAGATATCACCAACAATCAGAGCTGGTGCTATTTTAGATCTAGAAAACCCTCTAGGGATCAAAAGAATAAGAGGTTTTTCCCAAGAGTGAGACTAAGGGGGGAAAGAAGGCCCCAACGCCTTTATATTTCCATTTAGCTCTAAGGAGCCCAGGGGGAAAGAAATACCTGAAATTATTAAGAAACCAAGAAGTTTCAGTGGCCACCATTTCATCTCTTCAGTATTTCAGCGGGTACCTCTCTAGTCAAGAATTGTTAGTATTTTCTAGTGCTCACATTGAAACAATTTAGCAGGCCAACACACCATTAAGAACCAGCAAAAAGCTAAATTATTTAGAATTGATCATACAACTCAATTTGTATAAAACTTTCCAGACTGGTTGAATTTAGCTACTCTACTTAGGGGTTATCAGGACAACCAGTAGAACTCACCAAAAGTGTTTTTTTCCTTGTTTGACAAATAATTCACTTGTCCTTGGCACTGCTTGGTTCCAACTGGAAGGCCTTCAGCCTCAGGGTACATGTCATCTCCAAGAAACTATGCTTAATAGCTTCTCAGGCATTCTCTAAGCACTACTCTGCATTTTCTTCAGAGCATGTATACTAGTTGATATTTTCTTGTTTTCATGTGCTTAAGTTGAACTGTTCTCGATTTTTGATTCCTTCCCTGCTATATTATACATGCCACATGACAAGTAACTATGGGTAGAAAATAATCGCATCCTTACCCCCCATGGATGTTAGGCTTATCCATGTGACCTGCACTGGTTTTCAAAATGTTGGCGAGGTGTGAGGAGAACAGAGACTTTAAATAGGTTGTGTGTCTTGTTTGCATCCTCGTGCTCCAGATATCCCCTATAAGAGAAAAAATATTTTGTAAGTCGTCACTTTTTGAAGAAAAATGAAGAGGATCTTAGAACAAAACTTATTCTAATCAGAACCAAGTCCCCCCATGACCTGAAGGAGTGATTTTTAAGCCTACCCATGGGACTGTTAGCAAGAAAACAAACACTTGTTTGAGACTCTGAGATTTGGGCTAGGGTGTGAAGCTTTTCATTCATTGTAATTGTGCCAATTGCTAATTAATTTAGAAATTACACCAGAAATGGACTTCGCCTGTCAACAAACTTCGAATATGTGTCATTTGGTTTGGGTTCACAAAGCAAGTAGAAAGAAACTCTAAAAAAATGTAATGAGAAGTTGGAACAATGACAACCCGTATTATATAGTAATAAAACATAAAACTATTGTCTGTATTAACCTAGAAGGCAAAAAATGTACTAAGTGTGCTTCTAGCATTGGGCTGAGAAGCTTAAGGGAAAATATTCATAGTATGAGTTGGCTGCTATTATCTGCATGTGATAAGTTACTACACGAAATAGATGAACTTGGCAAAAATTGACTGGTTTGCAAGCAGGATTGAGGGGAAATGAGAGAACCCAGAAATTTTGAAAGTTGTAAGTTTGAAAATTAAACCATTTCTCTATATATATATGGATGGTTGACCTTAGGGTGTTGCCATAAAGACCAAATAAAGTGGTTGTCACACACTTCGTTAAGACCTCTGAAAAGATTAAGGAGATAGTACAACTTACAGATGACTAATACATGCAAAGTACCTACACTTATTTCTAGAAAGAAGCATATGTCTAAAAGAATTGTGGGGAAGACATCTGGCACATGTAGTTGGCTGGAAAATACATAGAAAATCCACAAAGTTTTTGAGAGCGTTGCATTGGAAAACTTGACACCAGCCTAGATTTAAAAAGGCTATGTGTGTTTGAGATATATAAAGGCCCCCAAAATTTTACAGGCAGGAAGCAGCTACCAAGAAGAGCATACTAGTATTCTTCAGTATTCATCACAAAAGCCAAAAATGAAAAAAGGAGTTCCAAGAGCAGAGCAAAGAGAAAATTGATGGTCAGCTTTCAGGTGCTGAACCTGTATATCAACCTTTTTGTTGGGAAATCTGGAAAAATGTGCTCAAGAGAATTTCAAAATTTCTATAGACCAGTGACTTCTATGTTTTTGTCATGTTTTTATTTGTTTGTTTGCTTGCTTGCTTGTTAGTGCAACTGCTTAATTTGTTTATTCTGTCCCTATTCCAACATTGTATATTAGATGTGTGGGGGGCAGATAATGTATCTTTCAGTTCAAAGATGTCCAGATCAAGAGCGGTTCCATCTAGACCTACTCATGAGATCCTGGACTTAGAACCTGATGGGTGAGACTTTGTGGGGTTTTGAAATCACAATAAGTATGTTCCATATACAAAAGGATTCTGGACAATCATGAACAAGAGGGCAGACTGTGGTAGATAAAGTGAATTATTATTATTTTCAGTTCCTTATTTCCTAACTATAAAATTATACATTCACACTTTTTTCCATATAACTTGCAGTTCTTCCCCCATGAATGAAAAATATTTATTTTATCCATTCATGTTGGGCTTGCCATGTGACTCGTTTTTGTTAATGAAACGTGGAGGGATAAAGACACATTTGTAATACCTTAATCAATAAAAAGTTAAAAAAAAGAAAGAAATGTGTCTGAAGCAGTTTTAGGCTTGCTGGCATGATCAGGCTTGTTCTCCGCACCCCTGCCATTCCCCGTGAGGAGATCATGCCTCCAGATAACTGCTGGTACAGGGAGAACCAAAGAGGCAAGTGGAATAGATCTGATCCCAGTTGACATTTTTGAGCCAAGATAAGCTAAACCATGCTAAGACCAGTCACCTTCCAGTTGACCCATAGAACTGCTATAGAGACAATGAAGGTTTGGTCCTTCCGTTTAGAGCTTTAGAGTTATTTGTTTCACAGCATTACTGTAAAATAAATGCTGACTGATGGAGTTTATTGTCTTCCCCCATGGGAATGTAAGCTGTTCGAAAATGGAATATTTTCTATCATGTTCATGTATGTATTTCAGTGGAAAGAAACATTCTAAGCACAATAAATATTTTAAAATAAAAAATTAAAAATAAAATATATATAGTAAACTACTAATTAACATTGTCTATTAGAACCCTGCTTCACAGTGGGCAAAGAATGGCATACCTATAGGAAAATAAGCCATTTGAAGTTTTCCATAAGAAAGTATTAGAGATCTCCTTGAGTGGTGTTATGAATGTCTGATATAGAGATAGCTGTAGAGACTAGAATAGGTAATTCAGTTGAAGAAATAGAACTATTATGAGACAATGTCCAGTTGTCCTTATATCTGCAGCTCCAGCACAGAGTGGGTTCCCATTCATGTATGTTCAAATGCATTGACTCTGATTGCTCAGAGAAGCTTTCACACCCCACTTGGCCTTTAGCTATGGACTATATTAGTAGGGCATCAGCAAATGCAGGCCTCTGCTTCTTTCTTCGTCTGCTGAACACTAACATGATAGGCACTTGGTTGTGCCTTTGTGGTCAACCTTGGAGAGCCTGGTATTCTCTTCACTTCCTTCAGATAAATAGGCAGGAATGCTAAATTACTCTTAGCAGAACTTGTTTTTAAGCCTTCTACATTCTCCAAATCAAGCCACTTTACGCTCTTATTCTTTTTTAGTAATCATTTTCTTCAGCCCAAAGATCCGACCCTTAATTTAAGGCAGTGATTCCACTGAACATGTTAGTTTCTATCTGCTGTTGCCCAGCTCCTGCCACTTACTCTGGTGCGAAATTCTGAGCACATAACTTTTGAGGTAGACAGTTCTTGCTCCCAAGGTGTCTTTTAGAGAAGAGCAATGTATTTTAAAGCAACACAATCTGATTATGTTACTTTAAAATAATTTCTACAACTGAAAAATACATCATGGGAACCCCAAAACAGGGCATCTAAATGACACTGAGGGACAACAAGGAATGGAATTTGAGATAGCAAAGAAAGAAGGGGGGTAATAATGTGAGTGAAGTTTCCCAAAATTTGTTTTATGTTTATACCCACTATAAAAAATAAATAAATAAATATCCGTGTATCCCTGAAGAAAAAAAAATTATATGGGTGAGCAGATATATACTCTACTACTAATGGAAAAGGCAAAAAGAATTTGTAGAGACCTCAAAACTCTTTCTCGAAGTATGCTGTGCATACCCTCCCACATCTCGAGAAAAGTGGTGAAATAACAAGGAAGCACAACACAGCAATTAATGCCGCCAAGGAGAAAAGCAGAACCTAATGATTGAAACAGTGTGTCCACTTGTTGAAAGTGCCTTTCATTCTGAAAGAGAGAAATTAAAAAGCAAGTGAAGGAAGTCTAAAATGTAAAAACAAGACCAAACTGGAGAGTGCGGGAAGAAACAGGATGGGGTCTGGTCTGCCAGAGCGAGGGTGTGGCAGGACAAGGGGTCAGCCGAGTCTGTAGAAACTAAACTCAAAACAAATCCTTGTAGGTGATTGATTAGAAGAGATAAGGTGCCCTGGGGCCAGGGTTCAAGAGTTTACGTGGTCGATTTAAAAGTTTCCTGACTTAGTAGAGGGCATTTTTGAAGATAGCTGAAACGTATTCAATAAAATTTGTTAAGTAAATGCATATCCCCGAAAGTGTTTGTTTTATGTCCACTTTCTATTTTTAAAATCTCTCATATTTGTGGGAACTAAATCGTGCCTAGGACATGTAAAAGTCTCTTACGATATTTACCTTCCCTTCTCCTTTTTTCTCTCCACTCCAACTGCTCCCCCGACCCCCGACCCACCCTAGAAGGAGATTCAGTCAGTTTTCTGATAGCAAATCTTATTCCAACAGTTCCTGAAAAGAACTTTCTTCTCACGCATGTGTGTCCTTTTAGATGAAGCCAATTGGAGTAGGAGAACATGTAACCTCCCAGACAACATTTCTTTCAAGGGACACACTGATAGGAAGTCTGCCACATATCTTTATTAACTGAGAGACAAGAGGTAGAAATTTATAAAAAAAATTCCCTCCCAACCACAAATTCTAATACACATACTGTAAATAGTTGCATAGTTCTTCTGACAAAAACCAAAGGAAAATCAAAGAATGATGTAAATAGGCCGATGCCTCTTCTTTCTTTTTAAACTCTTTCATCATCACCAACACATTTTATAACTATTATTTACCAGTCTTCCTTTACATATTTTTTTATCGACAGTGCAAAGAAACAAAATGTGAAACTAAATAGAGAGGGGGGAATACCTTGAAAAGACTTTGCCTAGTTAACAATAGCTCTTGTATGTTTACATATATGGTTGCATGTGGCCTTCCTAACAGCTTGGGTAGGGTAGGACAGGGAAGGGAGGTAGCCCATCAAGATGGTTTTTTTAGTCATAAACGCCTGGCACGTGGGTGGAATCACGTTCATTAGCCGTAAGACCTTCCACAGGTTAGTTAATATCACTGAGGCTCAGTTTCCATCATTTGCAAAACAGGTATATAGCCCTACCTCGTGGTTTGGTGTGGGGATTAAATGAGAGAGAATAAAGGCCTTGGTACGTAGGACTAAATCAATGTCTGGAAATACCAGCTAGAGTTAGTATCGCAAAGGTGTTAGAATCCCCCCCCCCCCCCCCCCCCCGCCTGACAGCTGATGCGTCCAGAAGCATGACTGACCATGCTGCTGACCACACAGAAGGAAAACCGTCTCTTTTACCTTTTAATACGCAGAGGCAACCTGTCTGTGTTTGGCACTTCTAACAAGAAAAATAAAATAAAATAAAAATCCATTAGGAAAATATGTAGTGATGTCATTCCAACTAAATTATTAAATATCTTTTTAATGAGTATGTCAATTTAGTTACAATCTTTCAAAAATGCAGTGAAGTCAGTCTGAGCGTAGGCAAAGCCCTCAAAGGTCAGGCTCCATCTACAGGGTGGCCCCCTGCAGTCTCTCCCCCACCCCTTGCCAGCC